TTTAAACAGAGAACTGGACTTACAATCTACAGAGCTCCACATACTCATGGAAACCGTGTGCGCGAAAAGAACCGCGATGGAAAAGAGAGTTCGAGAAAAGCAAAAACGCGTGGAGGAGCTTCGAGAAGAATACTCCGTTGTGGTGAGAGATGAACGGCGAAATGCCAGCTACAGGATAATAGCGAATGAGAGCCGCTTCCTGAAAAGGAGAATTTCCCAACAGAAAGAAGTGAGGAATTCTCTTCGAAAGCAGGTGGACGAAATTCGCGATCATAAGAAAATGGTGAAGATAAGATGCAAAATGATGGTTAGCGAAGAGCGAGCATTGTGGATGAGCATCAGCGAGAGAGTGAAGAGGATGGCTGAAAATGGTCACCCACTTGAAGTTGGACACACTATGGTTAGAACAACAGCTTTGATAATAATATTAATAGTTATAATAATATTGCTGATAGTGATAACGATAATGATAATGACAATAATGGTGATGATGATGATGATGATGATGACTATGATAATGATAACTGGAGGAATAATGATATTTATCCAGGGAGCCAACTCGCCTATAATTGGTTTTCGGTGGGGCTCTGCAAATACTAGATGACAACATGAATGAAATACATGCCTATCACCAATCTATAAATGAAAAACTAAAGTGGTACTTTTTTGGGCTGGGGGACTTACGATAGTAGAATGAAGGTACAAGTTAGAAAACTCTAGGGGTCGTTCTACTTTGCTGTTAAGTTCATTGGCAAGAATTGGACGCGGACCAAATAGTTTAATTAAATAGCTGATCAGTGTACGAGAATCAAACAAACAGTCACAATGTATTAAACTCCTCAAAAACCGGACAACAAGAAACACTTGTGAAGGGAGAGTAAGTCGTTTTAAGAAAACGTCATGAACAGTACTATCACACCTGCACTGTTAATACACTTGAACCTCTCCGGCCACCTTGGGGACAGAAGAAAGTAGCCGTTGTGGAGAGACTGTGCAAAAGCCAATGTATGGACGACTGTCCGCCAAAAAAGTGGTAGTTGTAGAGAGGTGGCAGTTGGAGTGGAGGTTCGACTGAATTTCAACCGTACCGTTGTTAGTGTCTCATTTAAACGAATAGATTGGATAATGACCTACGTAAATACCACTGCAGGGCTAGCTGTGCTCTAGAAGGCCCGGAGGTTTAGGTTCACAACATTTTTCCCCCTTGCATCATTGTGCATAGTACTGTGAAAGCTACACAATGTCATATAAGTCGGTTTTGTTCCATACAGTCGAACCTTCACAAACGGCCACCTCTCTAAAACGGCCTCTATTTTTTGGCGGACAGTCCATGTATTGAATCTTGTACACTACTCTCTCTACAACGGCCACTTCTCTATAACAGCTATTTCTTCTGGCCCAAGGTGACCGTTCTACAGAGGCTCAACTGTATTGACCCACATTTCTCAGATGTTTCATGGACACTGCCACCCCACTGATGAAATTTTTTCTTTTTGTTAAGCCAACTTCGCCTGATGGGCTCCTTTGTCAAGTAATGTGAACAAAATTTAGATGCTATAATTCCTTGTCTTTATAGGCTGACAGTACCAGCACAAAGGGCGAAAAATCAGACGAGGGGAGTTCTTCCAACACCTCGAACCACGAGGGAGCCAAGAAAGAGGATACTGTAGGTGATGCAAGTACAGGTAAATCTAGAGATTTATGTGGGACCGTAGAACGTTTTGCGTTTATATTTTTTATTTCAATTGGTTTATATTGCACGCATACTGATTCAAAGATGGAAAAGTTAACGTTCTTGTTCATTTTTTCAGGAGATGAAACCAAGACATCTAGCAACACTAGTTCCCAATCCGCAGCAACTTGCGTGGAAATAAGCAAACATGAAGTAAGTAATCATTTCGCTTTTTCTACGTAATTTTTTGCCTGTAAGTAGAATACTTCAAAATCTAAATGCTGAAAGCCATTCTTTTGTATCTTTCTGGCAAAGTCTTTTTACCTCCCTCGGTGATCCACATTAGTTATGGCATTCACGGACAAATGCACAGTAATGGCCCCATAAGAGAGAACAATATTGGCCAATATTTTCTCCATGGGATGTACGCCCCTTTGTACAGCTATTTTCCTGTGCTCATAGCTGAGAAAATGCCATTATTTTGCTTCACTCGGATGACAAACAAGAATAGCAACGATCAAATTCACATGCAAACGTTTGCCAAAAAGTTTTTAAGTCACGTGCGGTTAATTGACGTAAGGTAACTTGTTTGCATACTAATCAATTATTTTTCTTTTCTTTGTAGGCCAGAAGCTGTTCCGAAATTAAAGCAGAAATTTCTCCTACAAAAGCTGAGCAGTCCGCACAGACGAATTCTTCACCAAGTGCTAGAGATCAGACAAATCCTAAAGGAAGCGTCAAAGAAGAACTTGATGATACTAAACTTAGAGGCAAATATGGTATTGTTTTTACTGTGATTCAGTTAGTATTGTATTTCCTTGAATAAGCGCCCGCGAATAACGGCTAGAAAGGGGGCGCTTATTGGAAGGAGGGCGTTAAAAGAAGAGGGGCGCCTCTTTAGTTTTCCTTTCAACGAAGTGTAACTTTGTTTCGGAAAATTAATAGGTTTTCGTTTGCTAAAACAGTAGTTGTAATCAAGTTTAAAGTAGTCCCATTAAACACCTCATTCTGACAAACAAACGTATCGCTATACATGTCTACAAAATATAATATTATCTCATCATCATCAAGATCATCCTCGTTAATGATATGCAAATCTTCGCTTTCTCCTTGTATTCCTACTATTTAAGAAAGTGATCAATTAAAAAAGATGAAATAAGCGCGATAAAATTTGAAGCAGTGCGACTTCTCTTTTTAAGTGACGTTTTTGTAGCCGTTGAAGTTCCCTATTGGCCTAAGGGGTGGAGCGCTTATTCGAGGGAGGCCGTTTATTAGAGCGTGGGCGCTTGTTCAAGGAAATACCTAGCTAGTCTTTTCTACATTTGTTAAACATGATTTTTTCCCTTCAAGACAGTGAGACCTAGTGTTCTAAATAAAAATGCTTGCGTGGGATCATTTTGCAACGGTGCTGAGGAAAGTTTATTTTGTTCTAGACTACAAGGAAGGCCTACTGTACCGTGAATCTTTGCGGATGGATTTACCCGGAGGACCCTGGACAGAGTCGTGTTCAACAACAAGTGCGAGCAGCAGTGAGTCTGAGGACGGTGGTAAACAAGTAAGATGACTGAAAGAAAACTTCTTGTCATTATAGTCATTATCAAACTTGAAATTACAATTGCGCAGTGTCACCACGGTATTGCTGAATAAGGTCAATTTTGTGCTGAAAACAGTCATTACTTAGGGCCTTTACAATAGTCCTGAAGGGTTAAGCTCCGGGCAAACGGACGCAACACTGTTGGCCAACAACCCCCAACATTGTTGGATGTTACATGTTTCCTCCGTTTGCTCACCCTGGTGCATGTTGTTGCGTGTTGTCGGTAATTGCTGCGGAAAGTTTGAAACCGGTCAAACTTTTATGCCACTTTCAAACGGATGCAACAATGTTGCGTTATGAAGTTATGAATTTCATCATCGAGCACTAACTACAATAACTTTGTGCGCGTTTCTTACAGGTCAAATTTGAAGGCATAGAATTAATAATTGAAATAGTTGGTTTCAATCCATGTCCATCCTTGCCATCCTTTCCAAAGGCGATAGGAAACAAATTCAATGCCTAAATATAGCCTTGGATAACAAAACTAAACCATTATTTTGGAATCTAACTGACGATAAAAAAGTTTAAGCTTCTTAAAAATATAGTAATCAGCGTGTCATAGCCCCTTTAAGTCAACTACAGATCGGAGCTACCTCGTCCCCAGGGTCTTCTCTTTTTCAGATCCTAAGCATGATCCTGGGGGCTACTTAAGCTACGTGTAAACGGACGCAAAAAATTAACTTCCAACATTGTTGGCTCAACAATGTTGGAAGTTGTTGCGTCCGTTTACACGTAGCTTTACGTTTGACAGCAGTTTTAAACTCTGTGCAACAACTCCCAACAACATGCACCAGGGTGTGCAAACGGACGGCGCAACATTTAACATCTAACAATGTTGGGAGTTCTTGGCCAAAAATGTTGCGTCCGTTTGCAAGGGTCTTTACTTGTCAAATTCAAAATGAGACAAGGCGCCTCAAAGTAGTTTACACCTGAGGTAGATTTAAAAAGTGTTGCGATTACTGTATCAAATGACGCTATACAAGAGACAGAAAGCACTGAGCAATACACAGCAGCTAACACCGCTGTTTCTGCGACACCAACTAACACCCAAAACATAAATATGATCTGGCCCAGTGTTAATTGCACTCGCTAAACAAGCCCTATAATTTGTATTGCAGATTACCGTGAAAGTTGACGTCCATCGTCCATTTAAAAAGAGAAAAATTACACTTGGCTTCTTAAAGCAATTACCCCTACAACGACAACAGACTACCGAAGAAGCAGAGAAAATCGAGGTTGCTCCGGTAGAAGAAACTAACAGAACTTGCAATGTCAAAGAAAGCCGCCAAAAGGTACTGTATGACAAAATATACATTTAGTGTTTTTTTTAATTGATTAAAATACGCGAATCTGGATACTTTTGAAACCGAATACTTTTTTACAGCTATTTCGAGAAAGGTTGTCGGAAAAATGTGGACGCGACAATCCCGAAATGTAATATGGGATATGATCAACAACCGTACCTGAAACTGTAGCTGTCGAACTCAATTTTGTTACTTTCCTTTAGCAAGCGCAAACGTAAGTCCATGGTCTGTCGTGCGATTCTTGCAAATTTCTTTGAAGAACAGTGAACTTAAAACCACCCATAATACCTTTCGGGATTGTGACGTGCACTTTTTCCGACAATCTTTCTTGAAATAGCTGTACAGATATAAAACGGCCAACAAGTGAAGCTGCAAGGAACACATCACATTAGAAGATTGATTCGTTAGCTCAAATTTCATTGTCTACTTTAGAACGGAGTTTGAAGGTTTCTAAATTTTTACTCCCCCTACAGTTGGATCTTCATGATATTTAACACTAAAAAGGCGTTTTATGTGTTTTCTTTCAGGGAGGATTCTTTGGCAGGCTCTGGCGAAGACTAAAGAAGAGTTCTAACACGAAATGATTTATTTTGATTTAATTTTTTAAATATATTTTCAAGTTATTTTATTCTTAGTCAACTATTAACTTGGGCGCATTTGAAAATCGATCTTTAACCGTTTTAATCTCTTTTGTCACTTTCGTTTTTTCTAATATGAAGATGAAATGATTTTCGTTCACTCTGTACTACTCTGCTTTCACTCCTACTTCGGTGAGGACACTCTCTCTTGACATCAGACGTTTTTTCACTCTCGCGCACGCCAGTAAATCTTCGGGATCGGTCGCAGGCCGAGACAACTTCGGGCGAAGCCTGAAGCCACGAACGACATTGAGATGTGCGTCACAGGAGTAAAATAGAAAGACAGAGTAGTAGTCAGGTTTCGATTATGTCAAAAAAAAAAAACCACTTCCGGTTATTATTGGTTCGTAACGTCCGGGAGGTTAAGGCCAGTTCAGACGCCGTCCCACTCATGTGCCGAACCTAACTGATGAATTAAGTACAGCAAAAAAGCGACGTCTGAATCAATTTGGTACGCAGTTTTAGTCAGTTGCGACAAAAGCGTTTGGTGCTCTGTCGAACTTTTGCCGAATTTAACTTAGGCTCGACACACGGTGCGCCGTCTGAATCAGATGTCGCGCCAGTGTCGCTACAAAGTCGAACTTATTCAGTTAGGTTCGGCACATGAAAAGTACGGCGTCTGAGCCAGGCCTTTCCGATGAAGTAGTATTTTTTTTGTCAAAACTTCTGAAGATTATTTTAACGTCCTTGCGCCAGTTTCAACAATTTATTTATTAACAAAAAATAATTAGTTCATTTTAAGTAGTATTAGTTAAATAAAAAATGAAACCCTATAAATTGTGCAAGTTTTCATGAAATTACATTATAAAAGATTGTTTACTAAATGAAATACAATCTTGATTTTAGTCTGAATAAACAACAAGAATTAACAGGTCTACATTCCACGTCCAAGAGTGCATCAATCACCGCTTCGGTTGCGGAACAAAGCGTCCTGTATGTAATAAAGATACTTATGGCGATTTTATTACGTACTTTTTGATATTCTGATCAGAAAGCTGTATTATCTTAGTACAGAATCCTTTGTTCCCACTTCTCTGGCCAAATAGGAAGTTAGTACAATCCGCGACACAAACAGAGGGGGGCAAGCCTGTTAAAATGCATGGACTTCATCGTTCCACTGATTGCAATTGTTAGTTTGGTCCGTAAATGGACGGTTGCCTTATAATCATGAGAGGGGATATTGGATACTGGAAAGAGGGAGGGACTTGCTATAAATTTCAACTTCGCGATGTACGTGACAACAACAGAATAAAAAAGTAGCCCGTATGGTAAGAAGACCTCATGGAGTACTATACAAACGACTCTTCAATTTAACGTTCTCGGTTGTCATAAACCGATGATCACTCGAAATGTGATTCCTCAGCTCTAGGGAATTTTGCCAAAAAAGGCTTTTTGAAGCTAGTTTGGACCATGCCGTTTACAGGACGATCACTTTGCGGCCTTCCCCGTTAAGTTTCAGACGCAAAACATCAGCATAAGAAGTTCAGGCATGCGCAAAAAGCAAGATTTCAAGAGTGGCTTTTTGAGTGACACAGCAGTTCTGACTTTTACTTTTGCTTTCTCGCCTCCCCTGACCTTTCGATTTTCAAGCCCTTTTTTCTTTTGCTGGGTATTGACTAGGGGTTCAATCCTCCTGTCTCTCGTACCTTGAATTCCCGGCTCCTACCCATTCATTCTTGGCTTTCTTTTCAATTGCATATTTCCCGCTAACCATCCTTTTAGAACCCCCATCTCCCGCTTTTTCCCTGCTCCCTCTCCCCATACCCTTCTTACCCCACTCCCCTGGGCTCCCACCACCTGCTCCCCTACAATGGGAGCAAGATGTCGCTATCAGTGATTACTTGCTCATACTGATTGAAGGGACGTTTTTGCCTAGTCCCTAGGACTTGTTATTCGGGGTAGTCAAAGCGTTTCGGGTCACGTGATCCCGCCCTTTCGCCTCGGATACGTCACCGAAGTGAATTGACCGAGAAGGCCTGGGAAAAGTCCGTACAGGGACTAGACAATTACTAGGCAAGGGAAGTTTGTTTTCCACCTTTTAGTGCGAGCAGCATTGAGTCTAAGGACGTCGATAAACAAGTAAGATGACTGAAATAAAACTTCATGTCATAATCAAACTTTAAGTCACATTTGCGTAACTTGCTGTTCAGTCAGCTATAGACCAGGGCTTCTACATTGGGTGTCATTTCAAAAAAAAAAGCAGGGCTATATGTATTTGGTCAAATTAAAAATGAGATAAGGCGCCTCCAAATAGTTTGTGACTATGGCAGATGAAATTAGGTTAGTGGTGACTGCGATTATAAGAAATTCCCTATTTAGCCCCTCTTGTGATAAGCGCCCCCTTTTCATAGGAAGAAATATGTTTACCCCCCTCTTATTTAAGCTTCCCTTCACCCTCCCCCCCCATATCTTAAATGATAGACTTAATCAATTAATCATGGCTGTAGCACTGCATATGGACTGATCTGGTTTCTTTTATTCATGTGCTGGATTTTCAGCCTTTATTTTTACCCTTAAAAGAACAAATCCGACCTAGTGATATAGGTGATAGACCACAGATTCTTCGCTCTGAGTTCAATACCCACTCACACTCTAGAGAATTTTTTTCCTTAATAATTATTACAATTGAATAGACTTAAACTTTTATGAACATTTGTAGAGCAAAATTTTCAAGGGACATAGAGACTCTGTGTAGGAAAAGGAAAATGTCTTGTGAGAGCCACTGAGAGGATTTACCATCAGTTTGGAGTATCATACTTCGATACTCTTTTGCGTTACGTGTTATTAGTGACCCAAAAGACACTCGTTAAGTGTGGATGAAGTCATAAGGTGCATATAACTGGGTATATATAAACACTTGGAGAGGTTCCTATACACGAGTTTATTATTCACAAATCTTTGATTGGAAACAATTTACCAGACAATCTTTCTCCCTTTTTGGAGGAATAAGACCCAGTTTACAAATAAGTAAGACGAGTGAATCAACGGCTAGCTTATCTATCCACTTTCAGGGCAGTCATTAAGGATTAGGGGCTAGAGATTTTGCCTGAATACTATGCAATGGTGGATCCAGGGGAGAGGCCTGGCCCCCACCCCGTCTTATTTTCAGAGCAAACTGAGGCCCAAAGGGCTGAAAAAAAAAAAAAAAAACATTTTAGACCCCCCCCCCCCCCCCCACTTATCTCAGGGTCTGGTTGACCACTCCCAAACCCTCACACCCACCCCCTCATCTGAAGGTCTGGATCTGCCACTGCTATGAGCATGGTCCCTAGCTACTATAGGACCAAACAATATTCCCAACCTTTCTATTCCCCACCTACTAACTAAGTATATATATAACCTGGAAAACTTGAAATCTTGGTGACAGATCTGTCACTTACAAAGCTACTTTCTTTGAAAGAGACATTTGCAACAAGATGATAAAGGTCCAGAAAAGTTGTATTTCCAAAACTATATACACCAGCACATGTACAGTAATGAGTATTATTAGAGAGATTTAGACTTACATTCATGCAAATGTATCATGTGACTAAAAATAATTCTCTTTGCTGGTCATTATTTTTACATAAAAATAAGTAGTTTTATGCCAGTTCATCCTTAAGAACTTTTTTGGACAATTTTTATCTTCTCATTTCCCAATTTGATAAATTGTTAAATTGTGTCTGATGTTGATGACATTTGCTGTAAATGAGATTCCGAATCTCTGTATTGACAGAGAATTCAGCATTAAGATTTGCTGGGTATGAAACATGGCTTAGGTTCAATATCAGTGGTTGTTAATAGAGTTTTAGATGACCTGTTACCTGATCCACCTTATCAACAGGACCTGTATGTAAAAAAATGAATAGACAACTTTAGTTAGAGTTTTTTTAAAGTTGGTGACTGGATGTTCAAGTTAGCCCTGCTCCGTAACAGATAATGACAGGTTAGAGGGAGTAATAATTATTAAATGAAATTGAAAAATTACCAGGTCCTACACCAAGCACAGTCTTTGATCCAGGTGCTATTTGTGTCCTTCCTGCATCTCTTATGAGGCAGACCTCCAAGCCTATAGATCGACCTTTCCTGGCAAGTTCAATCCTTATGAACAAAGAACAATGATCTCATGACTATGCAATTAATGTATTTCGGAAATAAGTTGTACTCAAGTTTGTCTCCATTTTCTGATTCGGATTAAATGACAATGGGTGTGTCTTAAAATGCATACAGGCCTAGAACATTAATTTTCTACTTTTTGTTACTTACAGAGATGATTCATCTGGGGCTTTCACAACTACTTTAGCACATGCTGTTGACTCCCACTGATGTAAAAGCTTTTAAATAGAAAGAAACAGAATCAAAACTGTTAGTGGTCACTTGGTGAGTTTATACACCAGATTGCATAAAAGATTATTAAACTAAAGTATTCTTGTATTCACATTTCTCTACCTTTGGATTACTTCTTTCAAGTTGCTTACAAAGACCAACAGCTGCATGACAACACTATAAAATAGAAATAAGCACAGGAAACTTAGTTGTTAAATGATGACAGGAGATTAATGGACAAAGATGATCTCTTTCCTCACAATCACTAAGTGTTGATTGTTGGTTATTTTTATTCTTGGAATTTAGGGATATCCCGATGATGAAATAAAAACTAGCCTATGTATAGCTTTCAGTTCTTCTAAGATAAAGTCCTGAAATCACTCTAATCATTTGGATCACCTTACACATTATCAGAGGCAATTCTGTTCTGATTCAATTTTATCCTTAGTTTAAATTTCATTTTCTGTTACTTCAGTCTCATTATCTTACCAAGGCACCCAATTTTGCTACCAGGCGACTAGAAAATCTTATTCACAGAAATCATATGCTGGGCAACTTGGATTTCACAGGTTCAGAGCACTGGGCTCCTTTCAACTTTCCTTAGGACACAGCCTTGTTGTCCCATTCCCAAAACAAAGGGAAATAAATTTTAAAGCAAGATAATAAAAATCTGGAATTACAACATTTCCATTTGATCTTCTTGATCTGACAAGTTAACAAATTTTGAGACAACTTGGGTGTTCAATGCAATCTGAATAATTTTATGAGAACCAAGCTTTTGTTGTTGTGTCCAGGATGCACTGTTACATGTATCTGGCATAGAAATTAATATTTTGATTACATCCTGTACCATCAGCTAAGTTAAGGAGTTTAACCTGTTGGTTTCAGTTTACCTACTTGTGCAGCTATTTTTCCTTTGCCCATTCCAAGATCTTGCCTTACAACTAAAACCATTTTAAATTCTCCAAATCCATCTGACACTGAGGTTACAGACTAGAACAACCAGGAAGATAATAGAGTAAAAAGCATGTTTTTTGGACAGACTGAGATATCAGCCATCTCTTTGCCCACCCTCTCCCTGAATGCCTTGCTACTAATAATTATTGGGGTATGGGGCAAAGAGATGGCTGGCAGTTTAGACGAAACTAAAGTTTGTATTGATAATTATATTAATTTATTATTTATTAGGCGCAAAATAGCATTCAAATATATGATCTTATGTGCACTAGGTCTAATTGCAATCACTTTGAGCTTTGTGGGTGAGTTAACTTATAATATTATTTGCTCAGCCTGACAAAACAGATGACATTTTGTGATGCCACCAGTGGTTTCCCAGTGGTGTTGTGAAATGTCTGTTTTCTCAGGCTATTATTTTGCTTTGCATGTTAGAAATGAGTTTCAGTTCAGCATTTTTCCATCTGAACCTTGCTTATGTCCTTGAAATATATCTTTGAATTCTTGTTACAATGAGTCTGATTTGGGCTGAGTAGGTAGGGGTAGAGATGGGGGGGGGGGGGGGGGGGTAGCGTGGCGGCCAGGGAGAGTAAGTACTGAAAAGAGAAAGCCTCCAAAGTGCAAATCAACAAAGGATGGCATCTCGGGCAGGGATATTTTGCAGAATGCAGAATGGCATTGTTCTCAAAGGGTAAAAAACAATGCTAAATTGTTTTCTCGCTTCATTTGCATATTGAGAACAATGCCATTCTGCATTCTGCGTTCTGCAAAACACCCCTGCATTGCTCCATTCAAGGTACAGCTTAAAATTATGATGGGTGAAAAGAATGAAAATCACAGCATTCATCCCAACTTCATTGTCCAGACAATAATGTATTTATATTACAGTATTGTGTTACTGAACAATAATATACCTGGGTTGCCTGTGGTGTAATAAAAATTTTTAAAACAAGTTTTGTACAATAATAAAGGATATGTTAACTTACAAAAGAATAATCATAAAACATAGTGTCGCTAAGAGTTTGGAATAACTCAAATAATCAGCATTGTAATTATATTAAAGTTTAGGCCATTTTATGTCTTTTATAGCATACCTCTTGATCATTGTTTCCGTTTGACCTTAGTCCTCTGAGAAACCATCCCAGGCAAACTCCTACAAAAACCGCTAACATTAAAATAAACGAACCACTTAGATCTTCAATGTTCTTCATGAAATATTCCTTTTTGTCCATCATTATGAAATTTTAACGCTTATTTTCTTCACACTTTCTGCTCTTGCGCGCTCTTTTTCATTTTAACAATATGCGCCGACTTTCCACAGTGGCAGCAGTTTAATCAATGAGAAAAAGCGTGCGCATAAGAAATATTAGAATGCTGCTGACAGTCTGCGTCCCGCGCAGTTCAAATGTTCGAAAGTGTGTATCTCAATCTTTGAAAGTCGAAGAAGATTTCTTTCAAAAGCTAGTATTTCTGGCCTGTTTAAGCGAGTGGTGTTGTAGTGAGCTCTTCAGTTATCTCCTCAAAGAAAAGTTAGCAATGGCAACTGGTGTTGATCAGGTGAAAGCTTTACATGAAGCCGGTTTATTTGCAAGCTCCAAGCTTCTGGTAAGATCGAGCGTTCTTACTTGCAAATGTTGTTATTTTCCCTTGCGATCTACAGCTCATCCAAGAAAAACGCCTCAAAATCTTCAGAGTATTATGTTGTGGTTCATTGGGCTACCGTTAACTGCTGCTTATAACCCCCTCACTCCCTCTAGGGCTTATATTAGTTTATTACAGTGTCGGATCCAGAACCTTAGTTAAGTTGGGGGGGGGGTCTCCAAAAAAATTTTTTCGGCCTTTTCAAGCCTCAGTTTGGTCTACAAATAAGGGGGGCCCTCCCCTGGATCCGCCACTGTATTAGCGGCAGTTTCAGGTATTGCATTAAATATTATTACCCCCGGGTTGGGCTGGTGCACAATATACCAAGTGAATAGCAAGTCTCCAGTTACATCACAAAAAACTCAACAGTGATCCCTAGCCCTTACACAATAACACAATAAACTTCACACAATAGAACAAGACAATAATGCATATATTGACTTGGTATATTGAGCATCACCCCCAGGTTGAGGAGCAATGGAATTCATCAGGGGTAAGTAATCAAAGTGGGGTGAGTGCAGTCCTATCGAATTCTTCAAGGGTTAAACTGGAAACAGACAAGTCCTCATTAACCGAAGGAGGTGTGGATATTACAATGTTTATACTACTACATGAGAAATTTCTGTAATTTGATTGGCTTAGAGCAGTGGTATTTCAGCTTTTATACTACTACATGAGAAATTACTGCAATTTGATTGGCTTAGAGCACTTGTATTTCAGCTTAATTTGAAATACCTACATGTGAATATTACAAACCTTTTGCGGGTAGTAGTATACACAAATAATAGCATGATTTGTTCTTGATATTTGGCATAAATACTGTTCGTGATATTTCCAAATTGTCTCAAATTTCACTCGCCTAACGGCTCATGAAATTATGTATAACAATTTCGAAACATCACTCTTGGTATTTATGCCAAATATCACTACAAATCATGCTATTACCTATACAAATTTGATATACCTACATGTTAAAATTACGAACCTATTGTGTGTAGTAGTATAAATAAAAAATAGGATGATTTGTGTGTGACATTCAGCGTAAATACCACTTTTGATATTTCAAAATTGTTTCAAATTTCACTTGCCTAACAGCTCATGAAATTACATATAACAATTTTGAAATATCACTTGTGGTATTTATGCCAATTAATATCACTACAAATCATGCTATTACCTATACGTATGCAATAGCCCATTTTATTACCATACAATAATTATTATTGTAAAAAAAAGGAAAGTAAAAAACAAAATATACAAAATGAGACTGGCAAGGTGTACAATATTATCATAAATATCACGCACAGCTTGAATTGTTTTCATAAAGGTTTGCTTTGGATGTACTGTAATCTCTTATTATTTTTTCCTCAATTTTAATTCCAGGCTAGTTTTTTGTTGTCAGCAAATGAACATGGGAACCAAGATAAATATGATCTCAGCACCATGGTTACCAAATATCAACTACTTGTGTATTTAGCTGACTCTTTATTTGACGATGAACAGTATAAAAGAGCAGAGGTCAGTAAAATAGACATAATACATGTATACTAAAGTGGTACCGTAAAATTCCGAAAATAAGCCCCGGGACTTATATTTTTCAAAGGTCCTTTTTGAGGGGTTTATTTTTGGAGGGGCTTATATTTGAAGAGGCTTATGTACAGAGGGAAATTTGCGTTTCAAAATCGATTGGGTTAGCTCACTGTTGGAAGGTATTTTACTGTTTTTGCTTTGTTTTACTTTGTATTTGAGGGCAAATTCCAAGTACAAGCCACCCAAGAGGCCTATATTTGGTGGGGCAATTTAACTGAGGGTTTTTTGTGTTATGAGTTTGGGGGGTTTATATGTAGAGGGGTTAAATACATGGGGGCTTACTTTTGTAATTTTACAGTATGTCCAGTTTGGCTAGAGGATGAAAAAATGGCAAATGATCATTGATCAATTCCATCCATGTTTGCTGATGATACTACAATCTTTACTATTGATATGACATACATTTTGTAGAAACCATCATCCTGTCATTACAATCTTAATGCTGGACCAAGTTTTTAGTATGCCTGCTGTAGAGTAGGATATAGATTTTACATAAGGCATTCTCAACTCATTCACCCCCGAACAACCCATCCATAATCGCCCATGCAGATTCATGTACCTTGTTGTGATGTTAACAGTTTTCACCGTCAAGGACAATTTTTCCAGCTAACTTGTGCAGGAGGAAGAGATCTTTCAAACCATACCAGAATGAGCACAATTCAGTCAAGAAAGAAATTCCAACAGAAATGTTGTTCGACTACCCGCGTGCACTTCCATCTAATCCTGCAATCCTAAAATATTTCTCCATAAAATGCCCAGTAAAAGAAAAAAAAAAACTGGAAAAAAAAGCAAAGAAGGGGGGTTGGAGGAGGGAAGGCAAAAGGTAAAAGTCGAGACTGCTGTGTCACTTTTAAACCCACATTAAATATATGTTTGAAGTGACAAAAATTTACCTTAATGTTTATATTCAAAATAGCATTTTTACACAAGAGCTATCCAACTGAGGAAAACCATTATCAAGCACAAGCCAAAGTCTAGTCCACCACTGGTATGCAAATTATGTTTCTTTTCATACAATAAATTATTGAGAGTTAAAAAGGTAAAGTGCCTTAGAGGCATTAACTGTAAATATGTTTGTAGACATTTAGAAAAATTTTCTGTATCCAGGGTTTACTGTCAGAGGTTGAGGTAAAGTACAAGATGTCAGAATGCTATCTTCACATGAAGGAGTATAGAGAAGCTACAACAATAGTAAGTGAAATAAAATTAATATCCTGTTTTTGTAACAGTTCCAAAGAAAATTCCTTTGAAAAACACTGTCGTCTCTCTCCCTCCCTCTCTAACAGCTTATCCTATTGGACGTCTCATCTTTGACTGCAGAGGGGAAACAATCTCTATCAAGTGCCAATCTTCCAACTTCTGTTAGTTACATGTCAAAAACATCCAATACGACCATTTCTCATTGCCTTCTTAGTCTTCGTCTTTCTCTCTTCCCCTCTATCTTTCCCAAGCCTTCACTTCTTTTCCAATGGCCAAAATACTTTCATTTCTTTATAAAGATCTCTAACCATTGATCTTCCCCTTTAATGCACTGTTACAATGTATCTAGTGGGTATTTATATTACTTCAGCTACTCAGTCCACATTGGTATGGTAACTACATTTTGCTAAAAAAAGGGTGTTTTTCGACCCATTTTGTTCTCATCTTCAGGACAAAATGAAACAAAGCTACCTGAATTGTTGTTTAGGAGCTATCATTAATTTTTTTAAAAATGTACAAATGCGTATTAGTGTTTAAACAAATTTACAAGTAAAGATTTAGTATTCATATTGTTGTTATTATAATACTGTTATTTTTTGTATCAATTGTATTGTAGCTTGAAGGTGTATCACAGAAACAGAGGTCTCCAAAAATCAATATGTCCCTGGCTAAACTCTATCAACGGCAAGGCATGGAAAGGTACTAGTCAAGAAGATTCATTCATTTGTTTTCCTAAATGCATACAATGTCACCTTCTTTTATAGGCTCGATTTCTGCCATGGGTGAGTGTGTGCTCCCAAACAACAGCTGGTAATCGAGCCTACTTCTTTTTTGGGCTTATTTTAAGGTTCTATAACAACATTCACTTTGCCTTTAGGTCAGCTATTTCCTGTTACAAAGAGGTTTTAAGGTAAGAAAAGACTATCAAGATTCTATGTACCTTATGTTTCCTTGACTTTGTATCTCTGCTGTGGTTCAGAATAGTAGTAATGAATTTTTGTCTTTCTTCATCCTAAGATTATGGTCATTGTTCCCCCCCCAAAAAAGAAAATGAAAATGATGCTCATTTAAACACTATACCACAAAAAATATGATGCTGAGTCCCAGTATATACCCTTGAAAGAGGGGGACAGCAGTACATTTTTATATAATTATAGCTATAATATTTTCTCATCAATTATTATGTTGATACCCTCCCTTCTAAGCAAAAAAATTGGCCATTTCCAGCTGGGCACTTTAAGCTGCTAAGTAGTTAAAAAGGAATATTCTCTTGAAATTAAAAAATGTACGTTGCAGTTCTTTGCCATTATGTGTGTTGTTGTGTATTTTGTAGGGTATGCCCTCTAGCTTTGGAAGCTGTGATTGGGTTGTTGTCACTTGGTGTTCCTGGCAGTGAAATAACCTCACTGACTTCTCCATCAACTTCAGGAATGGAATGGTAAAACTTGGATCATTATACGTTTCTGGGAAACTGTGCACTACCCCACCTCTAAGCCAACATTTTGCCCTAAGTGAAAGTAAGTGTTAATGTTGGCTTACAGGAGAGTAGGTGGGCAGTTTCCAAGAAACGTAAAATGATCCTAAACCTTTAGCTACAATTTATTCAATGGTAGTCTTTACACTAGAGCCTAAATAAGCTAAGAAATATTTCAAGACAAGTAAATTTTAATTACTTCAAGTAAAATAAAGCTTCACACACAACCGGTTCTTTTTTAATTCGGGTTAACTTAGGGCTATTTTCCCATGCAACATAATTAAGATTGATTGACATGTTTCGCCTTTCTCAAAGCTCAAGAAACCGCAAGTAACCGCAAGTCCGTTAAGTCGGTTTTAAGGATGGTTTTCAAGTCGCTTGAAACTTTCTTCAATCGTTTCAACTCTCTGACTTTAATGAGATGCAAAGTAAAGTTACTTGAGATTTTACTTAGGCCTTCACACACGAATTTTTGGTTAAGTAAAACTTAGCAGCTCTTAAGTCTTACTTAACAGCCTAGTGTAAAGACAACCAATAATTTAAAAATTAGCTGACTACTTCAATGAACTTATCTGTTTACTTATCAGGCTAGGATCATGGATAAAAGCACAAGTTTTGGCAGCAACAGGAAAGCACACAAGTAAGAGAATTTAGTAGCATGTTCATGTGCCTTTCTATGAAGTTTTTTTTTTTCCTGAGAAAACATTTTGGAAACTAGAAATGTGTGTCTTGCGCACCCTTGCAAAACTCAGTTTAAATAATTACTAGTCTAGGGTTTGGGCAGATGTTTCTTATCCGTGATGGTAATAAATTAATTTACAGTGTATGAGTAGGTTCATTGGATTTTTAAAAGGTCATCACCATCATAGTAATAATAATAATAATAATAATAATAATTTATTATTAATAATAATGATTATAAATAACAGTCATGAATGTCATGTAGGTTCTGTACAATAAACAAAGTCTTGTCTTTTTCTAGAGGGTGGACAAGCACTAAAAACATTGGAAACACAGGTTTGAGAGAGTCAAAATAAAAGTTATTTTACATTGTATACATCACGCCAGTGAAGTCTTTGAGTCCAGAAGATTGGAGTGTATGGAGAGTGGGTAGTCCGAGCTCATAGATCTGAGCATTACATACTATTTATTAATCGCGAGTGAGGTCATTACAGGGAAATATCAGACAACATCAAGGCCAAGGTCTGAGATTTCCTTGTAATGACCAAACAGATGAGGTTAATAAGTATTGTGGCCTTTTCATTATGGACCTGACCCTGCAATCAATTAAAACCAACAACTGGTCAAAAAAAAAAACAGTGAGTTGTACCCTTGAGGCTGCAATACAATCAGGTGACACTGGTCCACGGATGCCCTTTTTGACAGCTATCAGTTGACCATAATATGGATGTCCATAAGGATGTCCACTATCAAGTTAAACACAGATTGTATACGCCTTGGACACCTACACTGTAGCTAGTAATAGCCAGTCATTAGAGAACCAAAACAGCCAATCAGAGCGCACATACTATTGTAGCCATATAATTAAGTTAATTAAATTGTAGTTGTTTAAGGCAACCTCAAGATCTACCGCTCAGCCATGCTTAAAAATAGTTTTGTTGCTGGATGTACAGGCCAATCCTCAACATCATTATCTTCCTCTACTTACTTACAATGTACTTCCTTTGATTATGGCAGAGATAACTATTGGATGTCTTTTCCAATGATCAAAATCTATTATACATGGCTGCACTAAGATTTTCAAAAGGAATGTCTCTGTTATTTAGACCCTGTATAAATACATGTTATTTACCATAAACAATATTTTAGGAAGATAAAGAGCAAGATACATTGTATTTAGAAAAACATAGAGCAATGAGAAACATTGTATGTAATTTATTTCAGTGTTTACGAGATAATGTGGAATTGCTGTGTAATGCGGCTGAGATGTTTTACAATTCTGGAGATTACAACAGTGCAAAGTCTTTCTTTCAAAGGGTAAATAATGTACCAACAATCTTTGACAAAAAGTGTTAAGAATTCGACAGTTTCTGTCCCACAGGGTCCCCATGACTGCTACCCCCTCCCCACCCTGGTCAATGTTGTTCAGTCAGAGGCAGAAATGATTCAGTCAGACTTCAGCATTGTTTTGTAGAGGAAGGGTGGAGGGGAGTACCCTTATTTGTAACTGCTACTGTTTAAAGAACTTTATTTGAAGCTAGACATATCTTAACATTTTTGTGCATTTTTGTGTTTTTTAGCTTCCCTTACACTAGAATTATTTTGAATTACATTTTTCAATAGTGAGATTTAGTAAGCCATTTCTAAAGAGTTTTGAAGATTGAGTGGTTTTGTCGTGGCTGTGGTTGATGAGTTAGACCCTGCATCTATTTGTCACTTATTTGAGAATACATGTCCACTGTAGGTCCCTCTGAATCAAAATCATTGTGTTGTTTCTTTTTTCAAGGCAAACCCCCACCCACCCCCAATCCTGAGGGAAATAGAAAATCTAAGTTGCTTCAAGTTGATCTCAAGTGAAGAAGGCACCCAGTGGTACTTGTGTACATGTATCTTTGTAGTACTGCCAGTACATACCCACTTTCTATACTTTATATATATATATACTATATATACATACTATATATATATA